TGGGGGAGGGGGGGGAGGGAGGGGGGTGTGGGGGGAGGGATGGATGACTTTATTTCACTCCTGGCATCGGGGCGCTGCAGTGGCCCAGACTGGCAGTCAGCTGACGACCAATCCCAGCCAGTCTGACAGCGAAGCTCCACAGGAGTGCCACTGCTGCCCCCGGTGGACATGAATCAAAACCCCTGATCAATAACTTCTCAAGTGCTAATAAGCGCTGGCACATTTGGTGATATGTGAGGCCCTCCGTCATCTGCAGCAGGAGATTTATGGTGAATCCATTGTTAGGTCCAGAGGATGAGGTAATGCTGCACTTAGTGAATGAAGATCTCTATTTCATTTACCACCTCGTTAGGACGACCGTGACCACGCCGTCCGCCTCCACGGCGCTCTTACTCAGCACTGATGCAGCAGATGAGAGCAAGCGCTCCCCCCCGACTCACCCCCAGGTTGTCATGGGGGAGTCATGTTAGGGAGGCTGCGTGGGTGATGTCATAAATAATTTGCTCCACTGTCTCCCCTCACAGTGATTGATCTCCTGCTCCCCCCAGTGGCAGACACAGTTGTTAATTAGCCATTATGGGCTGCCCCCCCACCTCACCTCCCCACCTCACCCCCCTCGTCCGTGTCTCGACCAAGCAGAAAATTTATGGCTGTGATTATGAATGGACAGAGTCAAGGACGCTGGGTCTGCGTCGGTGCAGTGGGTGGAAAGTTCTGAGAAGTTCTGGAACCTGCTGCACCGGGTCTGGTTAGAACAAAGGTCTGTGGGGCAACAATGCTAACTGCCCCTTATCACCGATTTATGGTTGTGACAAAAATCTGTTTTTGAATATTTAATGTCCTTTGATGGTCTCTCCTGGTGTCGACGGTCGGAGACGGTGACTGACGAGCTCGAGCTCTGATTGGTCGGCTCTGTGTCACGGCCACGGCTCAAAGAACCAAATGCAGTGTTTACCAAAATAAAATGCTTTTATGGACGCTCACTGACACAGCATTTGTCAGTTGTTGTTGAAGTCGTGTCCAGGTGAGTCATCTGTTCAGATCGGCTGAACACGTTCAATAAAAGACTCTTTAAAAAGACAAACTCGCCGCTGTTGAAAATAAAGGCACACACTCAAATCCATTCCGATGACAGTTGGAAGAATGACGGCTTTATGGGGGGGTCGGGGGGGGGGGTGCAGCTCCATCTCTGCCATATCTTTTAAGCGTGATTATTTACTTAAAAAAACAAAGCCGAGCTCTGAGTCTGGCGTTGTGGACGACAGGCCTTTGATTGAGGCCTAAGCTCGAATTCTTAGCTAATAAATTGTTCCAGGTCTTTGTCTGGGGCATTAACAGCACTGGTCTGCGTTTTTCTTGCCCTAATCTCAAGAATGCAGCAGCCTCTTGAGAAGCTCAGGGGTTTCCTCCTCTCCCAGAGCCCGGTCTTCACTTTGTTTTCTTAGAGGACTCCATGGATTGACAGGCCACATCGTTAACCCCCCCCATCCCCCCCCCGACCCCCCAGCTGTCTGTTTTCACTGATTCTGACTGAGCTCATCAAAGTCAATCAGGAGCGCAAAGCATTTTGAAAGTCGCACACCCGCACGCCGTGTGTGGAAGAAAGCGAACTTTTCATCAGGTCTGTGTGGACGCTGTGTCTGTGTGTGTGCTTTTCCATGTGAGCTTGACCTGCGTTAGCTCACAGCACAGGTATGAGCAGCTTAGCTTTGTTCAGAGACCCCTCTGACGACAGCTGGGTGAGTCACACACACACACACACACACACACACCGTCCTCCTTTGGTTCCAACTCTAATCATTAAATAATCATTAGTTCTGTTGAGACACAGAGGAAGAAAACGTGGTTTATGGTTTAGTTAGTTAGGGTTAGTCCCTAGTCCTGTGTACAAGCTAACTGTTGGATTTGTGTGTGTGTGTGTGTGTTTGAATGATTTTGATTGACAGCAGTCAGTACCTGGTACTGTTGTCCATTCACAGCCGTCGTCTCTGCTCCTTCTGCCTGAACTTCATGTGTTTTTTTTAATCTCCAAATAATTCCAGGTTAAAATTGTTAACTGATTATAGATGTGAATGTTTTTCTCTGTGTGGCCCTCTTGTGGACTGGATGACGAAGTCTAAATTCATTTTTTTTTCAGTTAATGTATTTTAGAATTAATTGGTAATTTAATTGCATTAAATTGTACTTTAATTGTAATGTATTCAGCCAACAGTTCCCGGGTAACTTCAAATTTCACCATGTTCTAGGATTAAACAAAACTTAGTTCAAATATATTGTTGTTTCCTACCACACGTAGACTAATTAACGTGTCCTATCTTGGCCAATCAGAGGCGGTGTTGAGCCTCATGCGTGATGACGTAGTCAGAGGGCGGGCCGCTTCCACGGTGACCACTCTCAACAATCCGTCAATAGGATGTCAACACGAAAGGTTTGGACTTTTTCAGAACTTTTATCGACTATTTCCGTCCACAACAAAAGCCATAACGATTTAAAAATGTTGTAAAGGCGACGTCAACGACGTCTGTTGTTTGTATTTACGTTTTAAACGTAGTTTAACGACGCTGCTGTCCGTTAAATGAGACCATGAAACACCTGCACTGGTTGAAGGTGACGCAGTTAAGCTAACTGTTAAACGTCACAGTAACGACGGAGCCGCGTTCTCCCGCCGTATGAGAACAGACGGTGTCGACTGAACGTTTCAGAAAAGTACATAAAAAAAACAACATAAACATAAAGCTACTGATTTGTGGCTACAACGTAAAAGTCATCTTTTAAGGTGTTTTACGTCCGAATGAATGGAGAACTGCTGTTGATATTTTCGTGTCTGTTAAATAAAATGACGTGTAGCTCCAGCACAGACGGTCTGTAGTTCTGTTAAACTATCGATCCATTTGTTCTACAGATATAAATATTCCATAAAAAACTATTTCTTTTTACTAACAACGAACTGGTGTAAAAATCCAAACATTGTTATGTTGGTTGGACCACAGAAGATGATAAAAAAAAGAAGATAAAATGTCAAGGTGCTGGAATTCTGGCTAACAGTCTCTGGCTAACAGTCTCTGGCTAACAGTCTTTGGCTAACAGTCTCTGGCTAACAGTCTTTGACTAACAGTCTTTGACTAACAGTCCTTGGCTAACAGTCTTTGACTAACAGTCCTTGGCTAACAGTCCTTGGCTAACAGTCTCTGGCTAACAGTCTTTGACTAACAGTCCTTGGCTAACAGTCTTTGGCTAACAGTCTTTGGCTATCAGTCTTTGGCTAACAGTCTTTGGCTATCAGTCTTTGGCTAACAGTCTTTGACTAACAGTCCTTGGCTAACAGTCCTTGGCTAACAGTCCTTGGCTAACAGTCTTTGACTAACAGTCTTTGGCTAACAGTCTCTGGCTAACAGTCCTTGGCTAACAGTCTTTGACTAACAGTCCTTGGCTAACAGTCTCGGGCTAACAGTCTCTGGCTAACAGTCCTTGGCTAACAGTCTCTATGTCCTGGTCTTCCACAGTCCTGGTCTTCCACAGGTCCTGAGGTCCAGCAGCAGTACCAGTCTGCTGACCACCTCCGTGGCCTTCCAGGACCACATCACCCGGAGCCTGCTGGGATCTCTGGTCACACTGTCTGACCCTCTGTGGAAATGCAGACGACCAGCTCCCAGAATTCCACAGGCCGGAGGAAACGTGGAGGAGAGGCAGGATCTGGGAGAGGAGAGAGAATTTGTGCTGGATCCTGCCCCCCCTCCGTTGACCTTAGGTGGTGGTGGTGGGGGGGGGGGGCTAAGATGTCCTGCAGTGTTGACCCGGCTCAGGTCTGCCCAGTTGTTTGTCCTTTGGTTGG